CTCCAGGCTCGATATTGACCCCGCACGCTTTGAGGTGTTACTTGCATGTCTCGGCGTCAAGTCCGTCGATGTGAGCAGCCGTCGCTGCCTCCTCGTCGGCTGACATGTCTGCAGCTGCGCCTGCGCCGCCGCCTCCAAACGGGGAGGGTGGCGTGGGGGGCGAGGGCCCCGCCTCCTGGTTGCCCGCTACGGCAGCTGCATGATGCGATGGAACGGCCTTGAGGCGGTCGGTGATAGCAGCCATGTTGGCAAGATATTGAGCAAAATCGCTGGCGCCGCCCAGCGCAGAAACGACCGCCCCGAACTGCTGCACCGTAGCCTCCAGCCCATGGATGAGTCTCCAGCGACGGGTTCTTGTCATCGGGCCTGCACGTGGCGGCCGTCTTGCGTACTCGACCTTCCAACTCTATGATAGCTTGGGTAGCATCGTTCTCGTCGTGATGAACTATTGCCAGGTGCTCCTGAGCCTTCTCCACTGCTGTCTGGGCCGTCTGCAACTTCGCCTGCAGTGCAGAGTGCTTGGCCCTGGCGGCGGCCAGCTGGTGGGATCGGCCCTGGAGGTTGGCTTCGAGGGGCTTGCGTCGCTTGCAACTCAGTCCGAAGCCGATCACGTTCAGCCGTGAACTTAACTTTCTCCTCAGTGTCTGTGGTGTCGAGCTGTGCAAGCAGGTGATTGAGCTTCTGGGTGCGGGCTCGCTTGCTCGCTCATCCCCTTGGGCACCATATGACCAGGGCGGGACCGAGGGAGCTGCGGGTTGCTGCCCACTAGCCCGACCCAACTTCTCCAGCTGCTGGCGAAGTTCGACGATCTGCTTTACCATCCTGTCCTCCCGAGCCTGCGCGGCACTGTCAGACCGACGTGACGGCTCCTTGGGTGGAGAGGCGCCCTTGTACGCACTGCTCTTGGGAAGCCCGCAACGCGAACACCACATGTGGTCGGCACGATTGATCCAGCTGGTACCAGAAGACTCGTGCTTACACCACTTGCAGAACCAGAGCTCGGCGGCGGCGCGACGGGCTTTGGGCCCCATGGCAGCAGACTGAGGCGCGAGATCCACAGGCCACCGCGCAGCCTAGCAGTGGTGAGCGCTGCAGTGCGTGGGGCAAACCACACACACTGCTCAGTCTGGGGCGAACCAAGCGAAAGACGAAAGCTGGCCGCGGACTAGCGGTATCCATTTTGTTCCCAGAAGAAAACCAAAACCTTGAGCCAAAATGGCTACGGCCAGGACAGGAGAGAAGGGGGAGGGGGAGGGGAAAGGAGAGAGGGAAGGGAGGGGACAAGAGAAAGGGGGGGACAGGAGAGAGGAGGGGGCTTTGGGGGGGGCCAGGATCATCACCATCTCCATCCCCATCACCATCACCATCGTCACATCACCATCATCATCATCATCATCATCATCATCATCATCATCATCATCATCAGCATCATCATCATCATCATCCGGGGCGCCCTGGATCGGCGGCACTGGCCGGAGGCCACTACAATCTGTCTTTATGTGTATGCTGCACATAACCGTCCTCCAATTGTGACCACACGTTGCTGTCCGACGCAATTGCTTGCCAATTCTCCCCACGCGTTGTGCGAACAAACTCTGCCACATCATCGATCCATCTCTTGTGAGGTCGTTGTGGTAATCACTTTGCAAGTGCATTTGTGTTGGCTTTCGGCTCCACTTTCCCTTGTCATCGCACATAACCGCCCCAACAGATCTCCATTGTATGCGTCTCTGTCGTATGCACCCATCTTCGTGTCCCACTTCGCGGCAATATTGTTCGACGTTCCTCGTCGCGCGCCTGATCCAATCCTGCCATGGCTCAAAAATCTTACTTTGAGAATGTGCGTCGATGTCGCGGTGGTGTTCGTGGTACTGGAGTCGGTGCCGCTGTCGTCGGAATCCGGAATGTCGCCACTGCTGTCGGCATGACCTCGGTCTTTCGCTTCCGCGCTGATTTCCGGGAATCGGCGTCGCGGGGATCCGAATATCATTCTGAGCATGCGGCGTTGCGTGGACCGGACCCGTGATTCCAACGGGACCGTCATCGACCAAGAGCCAGCGCCGTAAAGTAGCGTGGGTGAGACAAGGGAAGGCGTGGGTACCGCAAGGCAAGTGGGAATAAGGAAGGCGTGCTCCTTCTGGAGCCAAGAAGCGTGTGGTGGGTGTGCCAGAATGGGGCGGTGCCGTAATGCGAACCCTGCCACTGGGGCCTTCGGTGGAATTCCCTGTGGGGCCACCGCGATAGGCGAGCCGCGCTCATTTTCCGGCCTCTGCGCCGACACCTCGAGACAAGAGTCAACACTCCAGCGCAGGCAGCGAGGCGCGGAACGCGGGCACCTTCGCGCCTCTGCTGGTGACTCCTCCTCCTCCTCCTCCGCCTCCTCCTCCTCCTCCACCGCCTCCCCCTCCTCCTCCTCCGCCTCCCCTCCTCCTCCTCCTCCGCCTCCCCCTCCTCCTCCTCCTCCTTCTCCTTATCCGGGTTCTCCGACGGGATGCGTCGACGCCACCCACTGACTCCGCCCAGTCATGCACATTGTTACCTGTGTAGCACGGCGGAGGCCCAAACACCCGAGAGGAAATGACTGCGAATTCGTACAGAAGATGCACCGTACTGAAGTAAACCTGCAAATCTGGCACCTCGAACCGACGTGGTTTGAGACAGAATGCTTGAAACCAACTTGGCCCCCAAGATGGCCCAAGGAGGCCCCATCAAGCGCTGAAGGAGGGCCAAAAGAAGAGGCCCCCTGCACCAGTCCCGGTGCAGACCCAGGACGACGTTTCGACGAACCGATTTTGAACATCAGAGTAAGGGGGCTGAACCGAACGGTCATTCACTGTCCCTGGGTGCGTGGCTGAAGTGGAATTCCGCGATGCGGATTATTGTTGTTGTTGTTGTTGTTGTTGTTGTTGTTGTTGTTGTTGTTGTTGTTGTTGTTGTGTTGTTGGTTGTTGTTGTTGTTGCTTGATGTTTTGTGTTGTCGTCGTGCCACCCGCGACCCGCTCCGCGACCCACCCGCGACCCACCCCGCGACCCACCCGCGACCCACCCGCGACCCACTCCGCGACCCACCCGCGACCCACCCCGCGACCCACCCGCGACCCACCCCGCGACCCATCCACCCCGCGACCCGCCCGCGACCCACCCCGAGACCCCCCTGGCGACCCACCCGCGACCCACCCGCGACCCACTCCGCGACCCACCCGCGACCCACCCGCGACCCACCCGCGACCCACCCGCAACCCACCCGCGACCCACCCGCGACCCACCGCGACCCACCCGCGACCCACCCGCGACCCACCCCGCGACCCACCCAAAACTTTCGGCGCTTGCGGCGGGTTTCTTTTGCATTCGTTCCAGGTGGAGAACCTGCGACCCACCCGCGACCCAAACCGCGCTCATTGTACAAATCAAAATTTTCGGCGCCTGCGGCGGGCTGTTTCTGAATTCCTTCCAGGTGGAGGTGGAGAGCCCGCGACCCACCCGCGACCCAAACTACGTGCACTGAACAAGCCAAAAATTCGGCGCTTGCGGCGGGCTGTTTTTGCATTCGTTCCGAGTGCCCCACCAACGATCACGATCCCCCCCTCGCGCTGAACTTGTCAGAGCACGCAAATCGGCGCCTGCGGCGGGCTTGCTCGCATTGGTTTGGGAAAAAGCCCTCGTGCCATTCCCCCGATCCGGCCCACGCTGACTCTACAACAGCAATCGGCGCCCGCCCCCTCACTCTTATCCGCCATTGCGGGGTGTATGTTTAGATTCTTGGCTTGGATTATCGGCCATCAGTGTCTTGCCGTTGCAAGGGGGTGTGAGTGACTCGCCAGAGTTGTCTCGAGACCGAGTTGTAATAAGTTCAGGGACGGGGTGCAGTCAAAAGAACTCGTGAAACATGCGAAGGGAAACCATACGTTCGGCTTGCCCATAAGATACCCTAGCAAGCATGTTCGGCACCCTCACGGCAACCATCTGCGAGAGATGCGAGTCAACACAATGTCGCAAGGGAACGGCACTACTACTCAGATCCTCTAGCATCCATAACGAGCGCCCACACGTGCGAGTCTGCAATTCCGATGCCAGATGACGCTGCAGAAACCAGCATGAGTAGATTGAAATGCTGTCTGGCGCCAGCCGCCATGCGCTGAACTCAACTTACAGTAGGCAAATCTAGTCCGATGGTTTTGCGCAGCTGGGACCGAGTGGCACCGCAACATGAGACGGATGGCTGTATCCCTGAAACTACGTTTATGCAAACTTGCGGTGTGGGGACGGATCAATCTAAACCTCAAATCCCAAGTCACGATGCGGCTAAACTTCCGTCGAGCATGGCGGATCGCAACGTCATAAGCCGAGAAGCTGGAGGAGGAGGACGAGGACAATTACGACGACAACGACCAGCACAATGCAATGGAGGCAAAGAAATAAGACAAGCGAGAAGGGCATGAGAGGGGTAGGAGTAAAGAAAACCATCACCACCACCACCGGGAAGAACCAGGCAGGTTCCACGGATCTACCTGATGGTGCGGTCCCCATGTTTTTTTCGACGCCCCGCCTGAGACATCCACAAACTCCACCTCGGGGAGGCCACGCAGATGTTCTCGGTGGAGGTTGTCCGCTGGTGGTGGTGGTGGTGGTGGTGATGTCGCTCCTCTTTCCCTCGGCACGACCAGGATGATGGAGACACACAAGTGCCAGAAGCAAAAAAAGCATGCACGATTAGAAGCCTCCTAGATGGGGCCCGAGTAGATGGGGTTAGAGGATCGCGCCGCATCGCCGATACATCGGCGATGCATCGGCGATGTATCGGCGATGCATCGGCGATGCACCGGCGATGCATCGCCGTCGTGGGAGATGTATCGGCGACGACGACGTGAAGCAAATCGGGTTCCACATCGAGCCGCATCGGCGATGCATCGGCGATGCGGCGCGATCCTCCGACCCCGTCTACATCGACCATATCTAGGAGGCCTAGACTGATGGAGGGCGAGGCGACAGAAGGGGCTCGC